CCCAATAAATAGGTTACCACAGCGAGCGATGTTTGATGAGGTAGGTTGACAGGTAGAACAAATGAGTGAACAGGACGTTCTCATTACTTCGGAGTTTACTCCTGCTTTGGTTCCTATCAATCGTTGGGGCACATGGAATGTGTATCTGCTTATGCTACTCTCCTTTCCACATTCTATCCGTGAGTAACACGTGATTATCTGCGTTTTTTCTTTTTCCCTCAGGTGAATCAGAAAAATGAACTTTGATGCCGCCGCACAGGTAGGTGAACCTCTCGCTGAATTCTCATTTCCATCACAGTCTGTGGGGCTACTACGTGGAGCATTTCGCGATGGCGTTCTTCACAGTATATCCACCAGAAAAGATGTGCTCCGTGCTATCATAAAAATGCTAGACGAAAATGAAGATACGATCGTGGAAGCTTTGAGTAAAGATATGCATCGCGTATGTCATGTTTTAGAGCAATGCGCTGATTTTTCTATCGCTGTACTTGTAGCCCAAGGAAGAAAACATATTGATGGAATTGTTACCTATCAAATTAGAGGTGAACCATATGCTAAAAAATGTGGACAACTGGGTCAAGGAGCAATATGTACGGGTTTGGTGTTGAACGAAATAGCGAATGAACTCTTACAAATTGTAGCTTCCTAGGTCATTTCTCTCAGTGATGGACACCACATCTATTCAGCTTGAACCTTTTGGAGTGGTGTTGATACTTGGGGCGTGGAATTTTCCTTTCGCGCTGTGTCTTATCCCAATGATTGGAGCGATTGCAGCCGGAAACACGGTTGTCCTTAAACCGTCAGAATATGCTCCTGCCTGTGCAGATCTTATGGCCAATCTCATTCCAAAATACATCGAAAAGGTTAGTGGAGAATGTTGACCCGCCGTGATGTTTTTCTGTCTTTTCTTCGCTTATTTGCTTGTGCTCAATTGGTAGTGTTTGTTTATGGACAGAGCCGTTTTCAGAATCATGGACGCTATAAAGTACCCAGGAATTGTAAAAGAGAAATAAGTTTCCCGGACTCATCTTGCCATTAGTGAAGTGCGCTCAAATGTTACTTTGGGATTATGAACAATCAAAATGGGTTTACAGAAGGTATCGCTGTATTCACGGATTCATAGAAAGGTGGAAATGTGGCCCAAGTAAGCCTAAAACCAGCTTGGTTCTCACTCGTGCACCGCTCACATGTGGCTATGAACGTCTGTCTGTAAGGCGTTCGTTCCACGCGATTGTTAGCTTTCGCGTTGCGAACCGGTGAGTTTCTCCAAATCCTAGACTGACGCTCATCTGGTAGGTCAGCGCGGGGTTGATATTGTACTCAGTAACAGGACCGAATCCTTTTTATCGATTGTTTTTTTATAATTTTTTTATTACACATTTGTTTGGTGAGCAGCAGACGGGGCGAACCCCATAGTCAAAACGACCTTCTGCTTCGTCATGGAAACCGGTAACCTAAGCCCCTGGACTTGGAGTGGCGAACCACATAAAGCCCCGTTAGCTCAGGCATGGTAATGAACCGGATGACAGCAAAGCTGTCTACCACCAAAGCTCCCGTCAACAGTCGTTTATCTGCAGTTCGTCTCCAGGGGTCAATCAGCGTCCGGGAGAAGAGAAACACCAAAAGGTGTTTGTTCACCACATCAGCGTCTGCACCGACCAATTGCAGTTCTGATATACAAAAGAACGATTTCTGCGATAAAGTCACCTAAGTTATCCATGGGACATGTATTACGCATGTCACCAGATGGGTTGCCATGGCGTGCGATGTTTGCCGAGGCAGGTAGCATGGCGGAGGTGTTTTCCCACCAAAGTGAGAGGACAAAGAGCCGACATTCCGGGCTATAATCGGTTTGGTGAACCACTAGTCGTTCACCTAGGGGAGTTGGTCAAAAAACCTAATTCCAAACCAATCAAGAGGAGACGTACGAACCACACACCTTCCCGGTTGTGAAGCTGGTCACCGGCTCGATTGGGCATCAAGGTGTATTGGCCACCTTTAGCGTTTGACCCTGTCCAAACGGTGTATGACCCGTTGAAATGGACACCGATCCTTAATGGATTGTTTTTTTCACACACCACCCCGCTGCCCTGCGGGTCAGGCTTTGGCTAACCGAAGGCTCCAGTTGTGGATTCCTCAAGAAAATTCATCTGCGTTGGCCTGGGCAATCTGGCAATATTCGGCTCACATGCAAAGATTATTGTTCCATGATTTGTTTGGCACACAGTCTGGCGTCAGACGCATGTGAAATGTATAATATATATAATGTGCCATTGGGTCATGACAGTCGGACCGTCTAAATTGATGCGGGATTTCGTCAGTGTGCTATTCGAAACCTGTCACAACCACCACCGCTTGGTTAGGTTGCAGCTGCCTCTGCAGGTCATTGATAGGCTAGTGGTCACTGACAGGGTTCGATATGCATTATAGAGCACGGTTGTGAATGCTCGGGGAAAATGTTTTAGCATGTGTCGCATTTTCGTCGTCGTCATCCTCGTAGAGCGAAATACAGAGAAGCGGACTTCATTGATCTCTGCCAAACTCGCAATGCATGTGCATTGGGGTTAGATGGACGGGTACTGTCTGGGTGTCCAGCCACTATGCAGGATTTTCGTCCATCAAACTATTTCTATGCACTAAAACTTCACATAGAGGTCCTAAGGAAAGCATCGTGGCGTTCCCGAATCTGGCTTGCCACTAAATAAGACAGCCCTTCTCTCCTTGTGGTACTATAGTTCACACTTGATCTTGCAAGGACTAGTAGATACACCCTCGAAGAACAACGAAGCATGCTAATGGACACAATATTCCCAAGAGTTTTCATTCATTAAACTGACTTGCTTTCAAGTTGGAAAAGGTCGTCCTAGACAACTGAAGAATGCCTGAAACTTTCTGCTCGGGATCATTCTTATTGTCCCCATTCTATGTGCTATAGTCGATCAGTGAGTTCAGCTGTTCCAGTTATAATTTCTACGATTTCTATCTTAGAATTCGTTAACTTTATACCGATCTACATTCACACAATGTACACAGTTGTCTGTTATTCAACTCCGCATCTTCCCCCCACCCCACCGCAGCATATTTGTCAAGTATTCACGGGGGACGTCCAATTCACACAAGAATTGCTGGAAAAGGAGAGATTTGATTACGTATTTTTCACCGGGGGCTACGAAGCCGGTCGTGCGGTTTATGTCGCCGCGGCCAAACACGTCACTCCGGTCACATTGGAACTGGGTGGCAAGTGGTAAGTCTGCCCTGTCTTGTCTATCCAATCTTTCTCGATTTGACATTAAAATTTTCTTTACCGCGTTCATTTCCCTGCAGTGTGCAGTGTGATTAAAACTGTCTAGTTTGCAGCAAATCTGTACACTTCCTTTTCTCAAATCTCCGAGTCAGCCAAAACATACTTGAACTGGGTTCTGTGAAAATTAGCTCGCATAAACAGCGAAACCGAAGCATTGTTTTCATGCTTCGGTTAGTAGTATTTCTGCATCGAATTAACCGTAAAACATGATCGATGAAAACAGTTTGAAAGGAGTTTGACGCAGTTTGGTACAACTGGACGGTAACACTTGGTGCATCTGATTGTGAACGGAACGTATATCTACAGACGTAACGGAGACCACACGGATTCATCGCGTGTGACTCAGCTCAATGATTGTGGGTTGTTCCATCCTCTTCCAGTGTTCTGACAGGTTTCACTCATTCTCGACTCTTGTTTGCTTCCGTTTCCACGTGCATATGTGAACTACTGATCAACCATTACAGCTCGAATTTGCATTCCCGTAACTCCCACATGGATCTTAGATGAAGCCAGATTGCAGAGCGTTCATTACTCTTTGATCTACCGCCCCTCACCCCGTCATACGCTTATTGTAAGTTTGTTATTCGTCAGATTCACTCATGGTTTGTCGTATCACGGTTCAAAGCATTCGTCATCTTTAAGAGGTTTAGTGCTATTCAGCTTCCTAGTGTACTGCGTTCTCCCAGAACTTTGACCCCTACACCACGTAAAATTTTCTCGTGTTTCGCCAGCCAGTCAAGTGAACGACATGGGTGATCTGGGTTCTGTATTATTTGATACACCAAGATCAAGTCCCCTCAAACGCGGCGATTCTGTGTTGAGTACAGTTGCAGTGATTCCAGTCTTTCCACATAACTCTTGGAATGCAGTCCCTTGACCATTTTGGTGGACGTTCCAGAATCTTCCGATCGCGTTGCCATGGATTCTATGCTTGAATGGCGTACTCTATGTGGGGTCGAATGTAGGCTAATAGCAGTCGTGGGAAGAGCGTGGGTTCAAATTTGCTAAATACTCGTTTTAGCAAACCAACATGTCTTACAGCGGTAGACGACGCCCGGGAGCAGTTTAAAGAACAGCTTAGGTCGTCTTGAACAATGACGCCGAGATACTTCTCATTCGAAACGTACGGAAGTTACTGATCTCCCAGGAAATACGGAAAACGAGTTTTATATTAAAGGGATACGACCGTACATTTTGATGCATTAAATTCCATGTCGTTTTCGATCGACCATTGATATGCAGCATTAAGCGTTCTTTGGAGTTCTAGCGAGTTCTCTGGTTTTATTTCCGTTTTCGATATTTCTGCATCGTCTGCAAGCGTTAATGTTTGTGACCTCAGAATGTCCGTTAGGTCGTTGATAGAAACAAGGAAAAGTTGAGGGCCCAACGCGGATCCCTGTGGAATTCCTCGTGCTATGCTGATGGGATCAGAAAGTGACCCAGAAACCCGAACTTCCATGACGCGTTGTCGAAGAACCTCTTTCATCCAGCTCAGTACAAGTCCCTGAATTCCATAGTTGTGTAGTTTCCTCAGCAGTATATTGTGGTTCACTCGATCGAATGCTTTGGAGAAGTCGAGGTACACGATGTCCACTGCATCACCGTGATCCGCTGCTTTTGTGCTTGTGAAGTGGCAAGCACTGATGATGTCACCTCGGCTGGTAATGAAACGTTTGCAAACAAATTGCCAAGCTCGGCGAACAGGCGAAATAGAATTCAGTTCACCCGAGCTACGAGAACCAATTTTCAATACTTTGTCATAACACACTGTATTTTTCCAAGTGACCCATCACATTGGCTGCAACAATGTCATGTGTTTCTTACGATTAATGTCGATCTCCTATTTCCCCTAATTACACCAGTCTTGGTTTCGTGTAACAGTGTGACTTTTATCGTTCGCTTCTGTTAGTGGCAAGACAGATAGACCAGTGGATGGGGATGGAGAATGAAGCGTTCGGTGACTAGTTAAATGTGCGCGTTACGATGAATTCGGGTATGATGATGGTTACACTTTGGTAAACGTGAATGAACCAGCTGCTTGTGTACTTGTGCGGTTTGTGCACGTGTATGCGAGGAAGCAGCCGTACCTCAAGCGAAAAGATTGTCTGTACCACAGAGTCAACCACACAGCTCATTCACCATGTAGTCATAAGTGTGTTTGTGTCTGTGTATCCGGATCGTCGTAAATGACTCAGGCTTGGCGGACCTTGTCGGTGCAAATGCTCAGTTTTTTTGAGTTTTTTTTTTCTTCATAAAATATCTTGCCGTCTCTCTCTCCCCTCGTGAGTTTCCTCTGAACAATCTGTCTGTT